GTGAACACACACCCGGAGCAGTGGGCAGCCATTTATGCTGCGGCGCCCGGGGAGCAGTTGGGGGTTCGGTGCCTTGCTCAAGGGCACCTCAGTCGTGGTATTGAAGGTGGGAGAGAGCGCTGTACATTCACTCCCCCCACCTACAATCAAGAGACTCGAACCCACAACCTTTGGGTTATGAGTCCGACTCTCTAACCATTAAGCCACGACTTCCCCTTGTTGCAGTGTAGAAAATCTGAATGCTGCTAATAGTCTTCATTCCTCGTTTAGTAAAATGTAATTTCTTATTTTTTACCCTTACCCTTTTAGGCATGCACATTTTGAGCTGTATGTGAGCAGAACAAATAACCAATTATTAGCTAAAATAAGAAATATAATTTTTTTTGTAAAACTATAAAATTTCATAATATAAAAAAATCTAAAATTATTTTAAAAAAAACCCATCTGTTTGTAAGTAACCAGAAAAAAAATGAAATTCCATAATATATATTAAAATATATATATATAAAATTATATTATACGTGTGTATAATTATATGTATCACAATTCATGAACAATGAATTTAAAAAGCTAAAAATCCTAGCAGCCCCAATTTAGGCTTCATTTCCTTTATATAAAATATACTATTTTTACATTTTCTTTTGTTTTTCTGTAGAAATATGACTTTTATTTTTAAAGATTTATTCTTGTATATTTGATGTGCTTGTATGTAACCTAAACTCTTTTCTCTGTCTCTCCTCTCAGGTGACGATGACGGTGAGTTAATATTTGCACAAATAATACATGATGCTTCTGCAGTGAAACTGGTCTCAGATCAGTGCAGAAGGGCTTTTATTAAAGCAGACTGTCTGTTTCTCACAGGTGAAGGGTTTTACAAATGGATGGAAGGTGAGTGATTATTTACAGTGTAAATATGATGAAAACACAGATGCATTCATTTGCATATTAATAGTTGTACAAATGACTTGCACAAATTCGTTCTGCTCGTGTTTCATGAATGAGGCCTGACACACTTCCTCCTGAAACTGAGAGATGTCCTCATTATTTGTTTTAAGTATTGTTGTGCTCTGCATTGAAAATGCTCAAGAGTTGTGGTTAACGCGAGTTATTTTGATATGTTGATTTGCTAATATAATTACCCAGGCTGAGGTTAGACTGTGTTTGTTCAACACTGATAGTGGAGACAAGAAGTTCCTACATTAGAAACTAATATCTATTTATTTGTTTTTATATGGATACATTCAACATGTCTACATTTATGTTAAATTTAAATGATAATTAAATCAGGGAAAAAAAATAATTAAATATTTATTATAATAAGTCAAAGTAAATTATTTACTTCAAGTTTAAACGTATAGTCATAGTACTTTTAATTTGTTATTATTATTATTGTTACAATTATTATTAATAATAATAATAATAATGTTTTTGTGTAAAATTTAATTATTCATTTTGGCAGAAAAAGTTTTTTATTTCTTATTTATTAAATATGCATATTACTTTTTCTAATGTATAATTATTATACACAGTTTTATGAGCTCATATTTCCCCCCAAAATAAATATTATTAAAAAAAATTTATACATTTTTATTTAAATACATTTGAAACATAAAAAAGTATGCATTATAGTTATAGTATTTTATTTATTGTTATTATTTTGTTATTTATTTATAAATAATAATATAATAATTCTGTGTATATTATTCATTTTAATGGAAAGGGTTAATGTGGGGTATTTTTTTGCATATGATTTTAACCTAAACAATAAAAAAAAATTCTAATGTATAATTATTATACACAGTTTTATGAGCTCATATTAAATAATAAAAAAATATAATTTTTTTTATTTAAATGCATTTAAAAATTAAATTATATCTTACAGTTTATAGTTAAAAAAATACTTTTTAATAGTGATTTTTATATATATATATTTGTTTTCTTTATTTAAAAGAACTAGTCTGTATTGTGTGAAGCTCATTGTTAATGCTTCAGAAAGGTGTGTTGGTTTACTGTGTGTTGATGCGCTGCAGGTTTGTGTTTGGAGAAGCGGGTTTTCTATCGTCTGATCTCTGGCCTCCACAGCAGCATCAACATCCACCTGTGCGCTGAATACCTGCTGGACGGTAAACACACCGATGCAAACTCATCAGCTTTCACTGACACCTCACTCTTTTGAGATCAAAATAGGCCACCTGTGAGGTTTGCTTGGATCCAATGAGAAAGTGTTTTATAAGGGTACTTGTGATCTTACAAGGGTTTTGCATAGTGTTTTCTGTACTCTTTACTTCAAAAGCTGTGTCTAAAAGGGTAATATTTGATGTATTTGAGGTCTGAGATGTGTGAACGCTGAAGAAGAGCGAGAGAGAGAGAGGGCAAACATTTAGCATTTTATCTCAGCATTGCCGTCTAATCAGCTAATATTGTCTTAAAGCACTTCATCTTTTATAACATGGGATTTTGAACAAATATATTCAATCTTGATTTTTGTAAAATGTTGCAACAAGATGTTTAAAAACTTTTTTTTTGTGTGTGTGTGTGAAAATTACAGTCTTAAATTAACTACAAATGAGCATGTCATTACATTTACATTTAGTCATTTAGCAGATGCTTTTATTTAGCAGTCAAAACCAACAAAAGAGCAATAATATATAAGTTCTATGATAAGTCTCGGTTAGCCCAACGCAGAACACAAAGCATATTATTATTATTATATAATATATTATATATATACAGCACACATCCATATATATTTGCATGTATATTTGCATAGATTTGTTCATTTGTTCATATATATACACACACACACACACGCATACAAAGAAAAGGAGTAGATAGAATAGAAAAAGAATATGGAAAGCTAGTGTTATTAGAGTTTTTTAAATTTTTTTTTTAGAAAAACAAGAATAGAGAGTGCAAGTAATAGAGGGTCAAGTTTTTTTTTTTTTTTTTAATTAAAAAAAAAAGAACTTATTGTGATCTTACAAGGGTTTTGCATAGTGTTTTCTGTACTCTTTACTTCAAAAGCTGTGTCTAAAAGGGTAATATTTGATGTATTTGAGGTCTGAGATGTGTGAACGCTGAAGAAGAGCGAGAGAGAGAGAGGGCAAACATTTAGCATTTTATCTCAGCATTGCCGTCTAATCAGCTAATATTGTCTTAAAGCACTTCATCTTGTATAACATGGGATTTTGAACAAATATATTCAATCTTGATTTTTGTGAAATGTTGCAACAAGATGTTTAAAAACTTTTTTTTTGTGTGTGTGTGTGAAAATTACAGTCTTAAATTAACTACAAATGAGCATGTCATTACATTTACATTTAGTCATTTAGCAGATGCTTTTATTTAGCAGTCAAAACCAACAAAAGAGCAATAATATATAAGTTCTATGATAAGTCTCGGTTAGCCCAACGCAGAACACAAAGCATATTATTATTATTATATAATATATTATATATATACAGCACACATCCATATATATTTGCATGTATATTTGCATAGATTTGTTCATTTGTTCATATATATACACACACACACACACGCATACAAAGAAAAGGAGTAGATAGAATAGAAAAAGAATATGGAAAGCTAGTGTTATTAGAGTTTTTTAAATTTTTTTTTTAGAAAAACAAGAATAGAGAGTGCAAGTAATAGAGGGTCAAGTTTTTTTTTTTTTTTTTAAATAAAAAAAAAAGAAGATGAATAGAGAGTGCTAGAGTTGGAGGGTCAAATAAAGACGGAAGAGATGTGTTTTTAGCCAATTCTTGAAGAGGACTACTCGGATTGAGTTGTGCAGGTCATTCCAGCAGGAGGGAACAGTTAATGTAAAAGTCCGTGAAAGTGATATATTTATATTTGCTTGTAAATCAAATATCTTTAAAAGAAATTGCGTGTGGAGCATGCCCCGTGCTGTCCTGTGTGTTCTGTTATAGTGACGTGTTGTGCTCAAACTGTGCTCCCTGTAGTCGTGTGTAACGAGTGTTTTCTCCAGAGGGCTGGGGGAAGTCGGTCTGGGGTCCAAACCTGCATGAGTTCAGGCAGCGCTTCGACCCGGCCGAGACCAAGGGCGAGGGAACGCGCCGGCTCAAGAACCTGTACTTCCTTTACCTGATCGAGCTGCGGGCGCTGTCTAAAGTGACTCCGTACTTCGAGCGCTCCTTCATCAACCTGTACACGGGAAACTCTCAGGAGGACTCGAGCACCAAAGAGCTGCTGCTGCAGGTCCTCAACGAGACCAAGTGAGTGTTATCACCAGACACACTATCATGATACAGTCAATAGTTTTAGCATTTAAAAATTAATTGCATATGTGACCCTGGAGCACCAAACCAATCTTAAAGGGTTAGTTCACCCAAAAATGAAAATTAGGCTGAGTTTTACTCACCCCCGAGGCATCCTAGGTGTATATGGCTTTCTTTTTTCCTTTTTGTTTTGATCTCTCCGCTGCATTTCAGTGTTCATCACTTCTGAGCGGCGCATGCGCAGCGCTGAACTCATACGTCATGCTCCCGGAGCTGCTTCTGTGAACAACTGCTGGCGCAAGCTACATTAAAGTGATTATTACGTTCTGAATATGGATATTTTTCTTACAAAAACACATCGATTCGCTACAGAAGGACTTTGTTCACCCCCCGGAGCCGTGTGAGACACTTTGTTTTATGGATGGGCGCTTTTTATTTAACTTCTTTTGGACTGATGCATGCAACACCCGCTAAGTGCAATGATAAAGCTTGAAAGATCAAAGACCATTTTTAATATAACTCCGACTGGATTCGTCTGAAAGAAGAAAGTCATATACCCCTGGGATGTAAAACGCAGCCTAATTTTCATTTTTGGGTGAACTAACCCTTTAAGTCGCTGGGGTATATTTATAGCAATAGCCAAAAATACAGTGTATGGGTCAAAATTACAGGTTTTTCTTTTATGCCAAAAATCATTAGGATATTAAGTAAAGATCATGTTCCATGAAGATATTTAGTAAATCTCCTACCGTAAATATATCAAAACTTAATGTTTGATTAGTAATATGCATTGCTAAGAACTTCATTTGAACAACTTTAAAGATGATTTTCTCAATATTTAGATTTTTTTGCACCCTCAGATTCCAGATTTATTAATAGTTGTATCTCAACCAAATGTTGGTCCTATCCTAACAAACCAAACATCAATGGAAAGCTTATTTATTCAGCTCTCAGATGATTTAAAAAAATTGACCCTTATGACTGGTTTTATGGTTCAGGGTCACATATGTAAATGACATTAACTAAAACATATATTAATATTAAACATGTCTCATGTATAATTATTATAGACCGTTTTATGAGCTGTATTAAGTAGTGATGTTAATCACGATTAGTCGCATCCAAAATAAAAGTTTTTGTTTACATAATATATGTATGTATACTGTGTCTATTTATTATGTTTATATAAATACACACCCATGCATGTATATATTTCAGACAAATGTTGTTTATATATTAAATATATTTATAATATAAATTATATATAAATATATACACATGTAAATATTTTCAAATATATATATACTGTATGTGTGTGTATTTATATATACTTAATAAATATACACAGTATGCATACATATATTATGTAAACAAAAACGTTTATTTTGGATGCGATTTAATCGTGATTCATCATTTGACAGCACTAGTATTAAGCTATATTTGCATCCCAGAATAAATACTTAAGAAAAAAGGGAAAATGCATAGGTATATTTATTTATTTATTTAAATACAATAAAATACAGAATAAATTCTCAAGAAAAAAATAATGAATGTATTTAAAAACAAATTTTTTATTTATTTTAAAAAAAAATTAAAATTTAAATATCATTTAAACACAGAATAAATACTCAAGTAAAAAGAAGAAATACATACTTATATAAATGTTTAAATTATTTTAGTTTGGAGGGGAATGAGCTCATTTTAATTGAGAAACTTTAAATGTAATATATAATGTAGGACTGTTAAAACTATTATTTTATACATTCCTTTTTTACTTAAAATCTTAATTAATTAAATAGATTGATAGACTTATATTATGTCAGTAATGATACTGTGACATGATACTGTGAATATTTTTTATAACTTAATGTATTTGTTTTTTTATCGTGTTTTTTCCCATTTTTTTATTACATTGACTTTATAACATTAGCTTTAAAAAGTAAACGTTTATCTAATTTATACTTATTATACAGGTTTTCTAGCTCATATCCCCAAACAAAAATTCAAGGGGAAAAAAATTAAAATAATAATATATATATATATTATATAAAATTAATATTTATGTATTTATTAATTCATTCCAAAAAAAATTTTTTTTTAATAAATACTTAAATAAAAATAAATTATACCTCCAGAAATGGCAAGATTTATTTTATGCATTCATATATTTTTTCCCCTCAAAATCTTGAGTGATTGGAAAAAGGTCAATAGACTTAACCTGATGTTATTTGTCAATAATTAGTTTTTGTTTCATGATACAATATTTAATAATTAAATGTATTAGATTTTTTTTCAGGGTTTTGTTTTTGTTGTTACAATGACATGACATTATTGCATTAACTTAAACGTTTTTCTAATGTATAATTATTATACAGTTTTATAAGCTCGTATTTCCTCCAGAATAACTATTCCAAAAAAAGTGGGGGTGGGGGGTAATTAAATTAAATATTTAAATATATAAATGCTGTTAGTATAGACAGTGGGGATGATTCTTATGATTTTAGTTTAAGGAGAATGAGCTAATTTTGATTAAGAAACATTATGTGCTTCATTAAATGTATTAATCACACTGCAGTACTAGTCTTGGCTGATTGAGAGCAGGTTAATGGATGCTATTTGTGTTGTTTGTGCAGAGCGTTCCCCATGCACTTTGACGAGAGCTCCATGTTTGCGGGCCATAAAATAGAGTCGAAGACACTCAAGGTGAGTTGAGCGTGACAGATGCATTCTGGGCCGCTTTACAGAACAGAAACCCTCATCTGGGGAACGCGGGTTAGTTTCAGTCTAAACTTTATTTTATGTCATCTGCAGGTGCCTGTTATGATTTGACTGGATGCATATCAGTATATTCACACCAGTGCAGTTTTACGGTTATGCAGTTTGCATATTGACCGTTGATTTGCATGCATGCTCATTTGCATATTCATATTGCAAAAGAAGCCTTCTAAACGTCTAAACTCAACGACGTTAAAAAATGTGCACACATTTGCAATGCTTCATTAAGAAATGCAATCATTTGTTCACGACTTTGCACTTTGTGTTTCACTAGATTAACTAGAAACTAGTAAATTAAAGCATAAACATCCCGTTATACGTCTGTAATGCAGAGTTTTTGCAGATCCTCAACAGTCGTAATTCGACTTTTAAAGGTGAAAGGTAAAAAGTTGCAAAACGTATTCGTAAAATCATGGCATTAAGTGTTGCATGCATTGCAAAAAAATTAATATCGTTGTTTTCCAACACCAATATCTGAACATGTTTAAATCAAGATGCATTAACTGGAGATGCAAAACGACCACATGAAGTCTTGATTTTTGAGAAATTGAAAAAAATGAAGCGAGTTTATGATTAAAGCAAGGACGAATATATGCCAGTTAGTATAAACTTGTTTCCCTTTGAGTTAAGATGATTTTTATTAACCCGTCAGCAGATATTTGTTCATGTTTTAATCATAAACTCACTTCATTTTCATCAGTTTCTCCTAAAATAAAACCTCTTTTCTTCGGTCATTTTGTTTCTTTAGTAAATGTGTCTTGATTTAAGAATCTTTAGACATTTCACTAGAAAACAAGACCGAAATACTGAGGAAAGACACGTTTGCGGTGTGATCAGAAAGTACGGTCAAATATATTTCTAGGATATATTCTAGTGGTTTGGAGCAGAAATATCAAGCCTTAAGCTATTTCTTTTGTAAAAATGAATTGGAAAGTATTGTAAATCAGTTGAAAGTCGTATTTTCAGTCTCTGAAGTGTTGCTAATACAAGAACATATTGATGTATTGTGTTCCATTTATACCTTTTTAACTTTCTTTATTTGGTCTTAAAAATGTACCTTCATTAAACCTGCAGAAAAACACCAGATGTGTCGCTGGAGCACAAACGCAGTCATATTTGTAGCAATAGCCAAAAATACATTGTATGGGTCAAAATTATCAATTTTTCTTTTATGCCAAAAATCATTAGGATATTAAGTAAAGATCATGTTCCATGAAGATATTTAGTAAATGTCCTACCGTAAATATATCAAAACTTAATTTTTGATTAGTAATATGCATTGCTAAGAACTTCATTTGGACAACTTTAAAGATGATTTTCTCAATATTTAGATTTTTTTGCACCCTCAGATTCCAGATTTTCAGATATTGTCCGATCCTAACAAACCATACATCAATGGAAAGATTATTTATTCAGCTTTCAGATGCACAAATGATGCATTCAGATGCATAAATCTCAATTTCCAAAAATGGACCCTTGTGACTGGTTTTGTGCTCCAAAATCTGTTCAGTGAAACAAATGTGAATTTGATTTTATTAATGATGATTGAATTGGTTTGGTGACGAATGTTTATATGGCAAAAGCACAATTGATGAAAGATACAGCATAAATGTTGATTTGAAACGGTCTTTAACCTTCCCGTCTTTGTTCAGGAGGAGTTCAGGCTTCATTTCAAGAACATCTCTCGTATCATGGACTGTGTGGGCTGCAGTAAATGCCGGCTCTGGGGAACGTTACAGGTAAAATAACAAGGCTTTATTTGACATTGAAGCGTTTGGATGTGAGATGGGAATGAACCGCTGCTGTCCCGTCAGACTCAGGGTCTGGGAACGGCCCTCAGGATCCTGTTCTCCGAGAAAGAGATCAAGAAGCTTCCAGAAAACAGTCCGTCCAAAGGCTTCCAGCTCACGCGGCAGGAGATCGTGGCTCTGCTCAACGGATTCGCCAGGTCAGAGTTACTGCAAGCCGTGGTTTACAGTGAGTTTATAACCGCTTCGTGTCGTGCCTAACAACGGCCCTTAGCTGTTATAAATTCAGTGCAAACCGCGGCTTCACGGGGGTTACTGCTTTAGTGAGCTCTGAGGTTGCTAATCGACATCAGTTTGCATTATTTCAACGTATGTTCAAAATTATTGTTTAACAACTAAAATTGTGGTGAAAAACTACATTACCCATGATGCTTAGCAGAAAATTCCACCAATCAGAGTTGTGGCATGCAAAATGTGCCAAAAGAGCTCCGCCCACTCCCATAAAACACTGCAAATGACATAAAATATATATATATAATCATTTTTTTATTTGTATATATGAATAAAATAATTCTAACAAACATAATTCTAAAAAATATGATATACTCTTTGTCATTTTTTTTTTTTGCAATATTGAAGTTTAGATAAATTCATTAATAGTCACTCTGCAGGACTATTAAAATTATCTGCAAGAATTATTTTATGCATTCATGTTTTTTTACCTATAGGAATATATATATATATAAGAATAAAAATAAGTATAAAAAAATATAATTATAAAAGTAATTAAGAACAATAAAATGAAAATAAAACATTTTATTATTAAATAAAAAAATGTGTATCTAAATATACATATCTATATTATAATATCATATATATGTGTTTGAGTGTGTGCACAGTATATGCATATTTTTCAATAAGCTTAATATATATTGTTTTATACATAACATATATAAAACAGTTTTGTTTTGTGGTTGTAATTTTAATTATAGCAAAAATGCAAAGGTATTGTCCAAACAAATGTTGTGCCTGACGAAGACCCGATGGTCGAAACGTTGCAATAAATAACTCTTATGGAGCAGTTATATCCGTGTGCGGACGATATGTGTGTATTTTTGCTGTAGTTTGACTTTTTTTGTCCTGCACCTGAGCCCTGTGTGGATCTGTGGGATGTGCGCTACTTATTTATATTTTGGTTTTTGTCATTTTGATTATGTCGTTCAAAATGCATCATGGGACTGTAGTTCTTTTCCTCATTAACGCTGTTAACAATCTTGTAGCTTCTACCTCTTTTCGTCACGTTTACCGTTACTCTGCTCATAGCTGGCTGTGTTGGTTTACGGCTTATGACGCATCAATGAAGACTTTTTATAAATCCCTATTAGTGAAGAATGAATGGAGAATGTCTCTGTCTCTCTGCAGACTGTCCACCAGTATAAAAGAGCTGCACAACTTCCGGACTCTGCTGAAGGATCCGAGGTAACGGCTGCAGAGCAGCAGGTGGCGGCAGCACTAGCCTCAGGGACTGCAGACCACATCTCAAACCCTGCAGAGTCACTCTGACTGTGATTCTTCAGCTCTCTTCAGTCCTTTCTGTCAGATTTGACTGCGGTTTGTTACGTAGCGCTGCCTTTTTTCCCCTTCCTTCTCTTCGGTTTGTGTGAATGTTTGTTGTGAATGGCCGTGTCTGTTCCTGCTGACAGCAGTCATTTCATTGTTTCATTTGTTAGCAATCAGGTGAATCCCGTAAATAAGAACATATCCAGGTCACATTTCACACTAAAAATCACAAGTAATTATATTCTGCGTAAAGCAAATGAAAACTATTTTTTTCATTACTGTAAGGACTTTAGGCTTTTTTTTTGCATATATATATATATATATATATAGAGAGAGAGAGAAAGAAAATTTTTTTTTTTTTTTGTGAAATTTTTTCTGT